TATTTGTCTCAGGACTTGTCACTAAACATTATTTTGCTGAATCATTTGCCAATATGCTGCTGATAGTAGTTGGATTTTATTTTAGGATAAGTGTTCTTATAAACGGTATCACTAGCCTTGCTGTCGAATAAAAAATCTGTTTATGTAAATTCAACGAAAATTGATGATGTAACAACTAAAATAAAGTATTACAGTGTCAGCATTAAGAGGGCGGGGAAACATATTTTGTCGGGCACCTGAACTTCCGCCCACTGTACCTTGATCCGTTCATGCATGATGTTCACGCAACAGGAGGCTATATGTCGTTTATTTAACAAATAAATTGTACTTTTTCAACTACCATTTTAGTCATGACGTTAAAGAATGATGTTGCAAATAAATGTGAGTTGGTAAATGAGATGTGTAAAATGGTGAAAAGAGGGCGAGGTAGTTACTTGAGCCAATGTTTTCGTAAAAAGACAGGGATGCGTCCATATTTACCTGTGTCGGGCAGCTATTATAACTTATAATAATTTCTTCACTTAAGACTTCGCCCACTTTTTGGAAATGCGGTAAAATAAGCAGTATTTATAACATGGTATTTTAAAGCGAACAAAACTGTTTGATTACGCCATTGTAGTTTTATGCTTGAAATGCACTTTTATAACCTGAACATATTGATATCAATTCGTCAAAACAGATAACACTCTGATAGCTAAAACTTACAGCAAACTATTGGGATATTCAGAATTTATATTAGAGCTAGTAACCGCTGAATTACTCTAAATACTGTAATGATCAGCGAGCAGGTCAAAGTTGGGTTTTTTGGAGTTTTGTATTCTACTCAAGTAAGAGGGGAAAGATATATTTTTTTCGGAAGATGTAATATTAAAATATATTAAGTCCTGCCGAAATGAACAAATGAATTGTAAGAACTTGGTCTGTCGAAAATTGGAAACTATTTATTTACAATGCCAAATATTGAGCGGGAGAATCGGTTTTTGTGAGTTTTGGATACAATTTCGATATCACTATCGCCAAGCTGAGCAAGTCACACCGTATTTGAAGTGGTATGGGTTTCTTTAAATATACAAACAATTTACCAAATTTCAGTTGGTGTGAGGTCCTGATATAACCATTTTAAATGCATATATTACAATGTAATGTGTACAGCACACCATGGACTCTGTGTTTGAGTGGAGCATCTCACTGTTTTCTTCAATGAAGATTGCGACGGGATCAAACGTTCTTCCGGATAACTTATTTTACAAACAGTATGTAACCGTAACTCGATACTGCAACAATTTGATACAACCTACACATAAATATCATGGATATCATTTTTGATTTACACATATTTTCAAATACAATAATGTTAACTAAACTCTTCAAACCAACAGAAAGTATTTGACGGATAGCACATTTTTGATAACAAATCGATAACTTCTGAAAAAGAATAAGTATTGAGCACATCCTTTAGAAAATTACTCCACGACAGCGATGCCAGATATTTTCGAAAATATTGTAAAAGTCTTAATATTTGTATGTAGTTTCTTGTGTGTTAGAATACATTGACCTCAGAATATGAGTTTCTTGGAGTAAGCATCATAAATAACACCTGTATCAAATTTGATGGATAATCTCAGTAATGTAAAGTTACTATAGCAATAACATAAATTTCCGGGAAATAGTTCTTTCAGTGACCCTGATTTTTTTTGTTAAACTCAGTATGTAGCATTTGTCTAGCATTTGCACAGCCTTTTATTGGCATTTAACGGGAAATGAAATCACCAAAATGATGACTAATAGTTGAAATATTATTGAATTAAACACTTTAAAGCGCTTACTCGTAAGTAAAAGTAACTATCATGCTTAAAAATTGTGTACAGTCTTAGAAAATGATAAACATTTTGCACCTTGAGTGCAGCGGTATGAACACGAACTCGTTCAAGTTATACTAATGCTTGCAATTTGAGCGGTGACAATAATTTCTAAAAATATATCACTATTATTGACTTCAAACACGGTGGAAATATATCAACTTACAAGATAAATATGATCATTAGAGTGATGGCAATCAATTAAATTTATTTTTATTATTTGTTTTAGCTTCTGTTTCTTACATGGTTTTGCACGCAGTTAACTCTCTTTTGGCGCATAATTTCTGGAAGCAATCTTTTTAGTGTACAATCCAGTATTTGTGGAATCATAGTACTATGTTTAACAATTCAGTCGCTCGTTATTTGCTCGAGCAGTCAGTGTGTTATTTCTGTACTGTATTTCATAACTAAGTTATCTAGATGATATTCATATCTGAATACAAGGTTCCCGCAAGAAATGATATTTCTGAGTGAAATTTATCCGTGCAACATTAAATCATGCTCAATCTGTAAGTTATAAGTTGAGGAACTCTGATATGAAATATTCCGAAGTTAGTTTTTGATGGATTTTTCCTAATTTCAGTACCAATGATGGACAGCTAAAGACGTATAACCTGCTTTCTGAAGCTCTAGGATACACACAAGTTGATTATCAAGGTTTGCGCGATGACTTGACTAAGTGTTGTATACTGACAAAAAAAAGTGTGGAATGTATTTATACCCACCGACAGCAGATTGAACTTCCTGGCAATTTAAGCTTTCTTGTCTAAACATTATCTGTTGAGAAATTTGTATTTGGCTTTGAAATTTAAATGTCACTTGTAATTTAGAAGAGGAATAGAAATCAGTCGAGGTAACAAATCAGTCATTTGTAACATTAAACTATTTTTACCACCAGTAAATGCATATTTGTACTAAATTTGTCATGACCTATAGGTTAAATGGAACTGGGGAAAATAGAAAAAAAATCAGCATACCTGCTTTCTAATCAAAACAACTCAGATTATTCATATTATGTATCACTTGCTTAATAGTTAATCAAATCTGAACATGTATACCTTATCTAATTTTTAAAATATTTCTCAAATGTTACATAACATGGTTTCTTTTACAACTGCAAATTAATAAGTTTCATTTGTTGTTTAATCTAAAATTCATAAATATACAATTATTCTCAAATTTATGTTCAAAATATTCAATTCTAGAAACAGTGCAAAGGTACATCTCTTAAGGTGTTATACGTCCTTTAACGACAGATGTTTTTTATAATATTTATTTTTTATCTTTATCCCATTGTTATTTTCGAGTTAAACAACATATCAAAATATAAAACAATTCAGGCGTTGAGTGCATAATTGTAATATTGAATTGGTTTAACTAAAACACTGTCGTTGTGTAAGCAATCGTCATATACAGTTTAATTGATGGTTATTTAAAGACTTCTCAGTGTTTGCATTTTTGAGGTGGTAAAAAAGAAATAGGTCGAAGTAAGGTCGGGTTAACTAGACAAACGTTTGACCAATATATGTACTACTTCAGCGATATCTGTCATTGTCAGGATAATTTATTTTTTTTTCCAGTAAGCTCAGAACACAAATATTAAATTTGATATCATGATACATTAAATACCGTCGTTTTCACATAAAGAATGGTTTGGCATATTTGGAAATAATGCTTTTACACAATAAACAAATTAAGGAAACAGAAACAAATGTAATCACAAAAAATGCTAGGGCTATGGTTACGTTGCAAATATCTAAATATCTGTTACTTTTGTCAACTTCATTCGAGTTAGAAACCAGATGTCTGTCTGTCGGTAAATAATAAATCCCAAATCACGAATTTTGTTCTTGCCATTCAATTTACTTTGGGGACCTTTTTAGTTCAATAGTTTCGATAAGTCACAAAGCGTAGCAATTACATTTTAAGAAGGAAGGTTTAAAACATATATGTACAGTGGTTTTTTTCAAATATCTAGACCGGTTTTATTAATTGCTGATGGGAAGTGATATGCCATGTTCCTTTCGGTGGTTCAGACTGGAATGACTATACAGGAAGGAATCGTACTTTATGGTATGTCTCAGCTATGTGGAGGCACTAACCTCTTGGAAGGAAAAATTAAGCTGCTGCCCTTATCACGTACATGAAGTACGGTGTTACATTTCACACATGGCTAGACTCACACGTCAGAGCAATGATTTCATATGGGAATGGGTATTTATTATTATTGTGGATTCCCTGTATAGTGTTTGCACAAAACTAAGTTTTTTTGTCGGTGACTCAGCAATAGCTACATGTGCGGACAGTGTTGGTTGAGACGTCGAATTTGACTCGGGATTTTGTGATAAGAGTGATTTTCCTGGTCATACAATTTTGAGGAATCCTGAATCCTCCTCACATGTACGTTCTTATATGGACACTTGATGATTTTTTTTATTTTCAATTTTAACATTTCAGTTGTATATATTTTTAATTTTCGCACATTCACTTTTTCAAGCTAAGTGATTTATTGCGGTTATATTTGATATTTACCCCAGAATCCAGATCTGAGTTTGAGAACTGAGAACGTTTCGCAAGTTAAGAACTGGCCTGATCGTGTCACGTAAGCCTTTATAACTGACCACGGAACTTGTGCTGAAAATGAGTACGGAAATCTCTGCAAAAACATGCAATCCGGCACCCCTTTTTTAGATTAATAAGATGATTTCTCCTCTTTTAAGGCTACTATTTGCAAATGCGAAAATAAATGCTATTTGTTCCCTTAACCTTAATGCTAACACAGACTGAGGTATATGACGTTATATAATCGTAGTGAAAGAAGTTAGGGCATGTGGAGGAGTAAAAAATCAACGTACAAAAAAGTTCAAAAGATAAAAGACATAAATAATGATAGAGAAAATGAATATCATCATATATGTGCTTATCCAATTCGATAAAAGGCTTTCCAAACTCAAATCCTATGCGTAATATCCAAAATACATATTCTCTATTTGGTTTGAAGAGTTTCACATAACATGACAAATATCAAAATATTAAATATCAAAAATGTCAAATATCAAAATATTAAATGTACGCACTTCAAACAGCAAACATTTGATTAAAACAAAATAATGTCCTTATATAAAAATCAAATGTTTTTACCAGCAAAGGTCGATTTCAATCAGGTCTATTCTTGTCAAGTCACTCGTTAGCTCTTACACTGTAAAATAAATGAAATAATTTATTTGACTTTGATAACTGAATGCCAGCAAACAAAAAAGACAATGTCATTAATGGAGAAGCATAACAGGCTATTTATACCATTTCGAATTATCTGCATTAATCATTTTTATTTTAGAAGAATTTTCTTTATCTTTAACAATTATGAAATGATTATATTGTTAAGGCCACATAGCAAGCAAGTATTTATACTTACTCGTTCAACTACTAGTTGCGGATCACCAGCTCTTCGTTGTCAGCTGTAGGTGCCTGCTCCTCTTCTATAGGCAAGATAAAGCGCTCGATTGGAGCTGTACCAACAACAAATAAATTATATACAATATCAGATATATGATAAATAGAATCATATTTGTAAAAATACAAGGTCTCCCCTATACTTGTTGTGCACTTAAACATCCCTTGTATGTTTATTGGAAAAATCTCAACGGCATTTAATGCTTAAGATTTACTTATTGCATTATTTTCTATAAAAACACCGGGCTCGTGACCGAAGGGTTGCGGGTTCGAGTCACGGTACTTGTATGTATCTTTGAGCAAGATACTTTACTCCGCTTTTTCCAGTGTACTCAGCTGTAAATAAGTACGTGGATTGACAGTGCTAGAATTGTTGAATGCTATCTGTGAGCGCCGAAATGGCAGACCGGCCATATGCTCCCAAGGGAGTTAAAAAAGCTATTGACTGGTTGCAAAGGCCCTACATTTGAGACGACGTACGAACTAGGTTGTAATAAAGCGGTAAATAAGGACCTCGAATTATTAATATTATTATTTTTATTAAAAAATGGTCAATACTCGCTCGAAATACGTGAAAGAAAACCAGTTATTACTTATTTGCTGATGGTAACGAATCGGGCACAGAGTTTTATGAAATGATGAGTAAATAAACAGACATAAATGCACTACTCACGTTCCAAGACTACAATCTGTGCAGCAAGGTGAATGCCATCGTGTTGAACTGCAGCAAAATGTGACAAAGACATGACTTACTTCGCTGAATTCAGATTTCAATAATAATTTGTGAACCATTTGGAGACGACTTATTAACTAAGTTGTGATAAAGCGGTATATAAGAACCTCGAATTATTAACATTATTATTATTATTCAAAAAATAGCTCATAGTCAATACACGCTAGAAATACGTGAAAGAAAACCAGTTATTACCTTTATGCTGATGGTAACGAATCAAGCACAAAGCTTCATGAAATGATGAGTAAATAAACAGACATAAATACACTACTCACGTTCCAAGACTTCAATCTGTGCAGCAAGGTGAATGCCATCGTGTTGAACTGCAGCAAAGTGTGACAAAATATAGCTTACATCACTGAATTCAGATATGAAATACTGCCGACTTATTGACGTCTGGCGTACTTCATTTAGAAAAAAACAATGCAGTGTAAGATAATGAAAACATACTGATAAATGTACAGTATATAGCACCGTACATCTCCATATTGAAGATAACGTTATTTCTATTATTTAATCAAACGTGTATAAGGTTTTAGATTGTAGGGCTGTTTTGTTAACAGTTATGCATATGCTACGTTCTAGTATGAAGGTTTAGGCTTTTTTGTGTGCGTTAACCTCTTTGCAATTAAACAGGAACGCATTCCTTGGTAAATGCTGATATGTCCGTTATTGTATTATTTTTTATATTTTCAGCTATAGAATTGATGTAGCAAATAGTATTGATGTACCACATACTTGCCAGTATTTCTCCTTATATATGAATGAGTTCATTGCTTTCCATACCTTCCTGATTGATATTCTAGTGTAAATATCGAAATATCATTAAACATCATTCTATCTACAGTGCCCACTCACCTTCGACCCAAGGAGCACGCCTCCCCCCGTTGATGAAAAAACGTCCAACTGTAAATAACAATTACGATAATTGTTCAAAATCAAGACAATCACTTGTTGATCCGTTAAGTATCCTAAACACGAATTAACAGTTTTGTAGAGATCTTGTTTTTATAGAGTTACAACATACTTTTATAGTGATGAAGAAAATAGCTTACGTTGTTCTGTGAGGAACTCCAACACGAGACGAGCATGATTTTCTCCCAGCCATAGGATCACATAACCAATCACTGCCGGTACACAAAGATAGATATACCAGTCGTTGTTGCTCGACTCAGCAGTGAAGTTGTACCCGCTGACGGGCTTGATCCAGAAACACAATGTCGTAGCCTGGTAAAAGGCATCGAATATATATATATATACATACATATCAGTTAATTATAACTCAAATCAGAAAGTACGGTTAAGATTTATATTTTGTTAACAGTGACCATTTATTTTATTTTCCAGAGTGTATGCGTGTGACATTGCTGTTACAGAAAAATGCTTTTAATGCTTAGAACAAAAGAAAGAATAATGTACTTACAAAAATTGCTTTTTTGAGCATAGGGTATTCTTTGCCATTTCGACAAGATATGATTGAAGAACTAGGTGCTTCAATCGGTCTTTTGTCCTTCCATACTTCTGTGGGTACATCTGCTTCTACTTCAAAGCACTTGACCTCTGTTTCTGATGAATTCTCAAAGGTGTGTTTTGCGGAATTGACTGTTATCTTTTTCCAGATTTCGACCGCTTTTTTTAGAGTCTTCTTGCATGAATCTCGTACGGCACAAATTCCCTCTATGACAATTTTTTTCGCAGAAGTTATTGTTTTCTTAAATGATTTGGGTTTCTTCGTTACACTGTGACGCGAATCTGATTTACATATTGTGTTATGTGTGACAGTTGATACCTCAGCCAGCTCTCTTCTATCTTCCACTGAAGTCGATTCCTCTGTCCGAATGCCACCATCCCCAAGGATTAATTCCTTAAGGTCACCTTCACATCCTGCTGAGGTTAGTTCCTCTGTTGGATCTCCTCCAACCCCTACCAGGATTAACTCTCCTTTCGGGTCTGTTTCTCCTCCTCCTGTGGTTGCTTCGTCTATCAGATCTTCTTCATTTTTTTGTGGTGTTTCATCTTCACCTGAACCTGTCGAGTTGCCACGTTGTAATTTCACATCTGGAATCTTCGACACTTCAATGCTTTCCTTTTTTATCAATGACGTTTCCTTCCCTAAGGACTTATATTTTCCATTCGTTTTATTGAATATCATACCTTTAAATGTTCGTAGTTTTGCTTGAACTTTAGGAAAGCCTTTGAGTCCTCTCTTTTCTTTTTTAGATATTGTGGCAGTTACAGCCAAATCTTCGTTGACAACGGATTTTTCAACACGTTTTATTGCGTTATCGTAAGGTTCAGTAGCATTCTCTCTAGGTCCCATGGCTATATCCTCAGATTTGGTAGAAACGCTTTCAGGTTTTACGACTTTCTCGTCAGGTTCGAAAGCAACGGCTCCAGGTTTCACGGCTTTCTCGTCAGGTTCTGAAGCAACGTCTTCATTTTTCATGACTATCTCGTCAGATTCCGAAGCAACGACTTCAGGTTTCATTGCTTTTTCCTCAGGTTCAAAAGCAACGACTTCAGGTTTCACGAATATCGCGTCAGATTCGGCAGCATTGTTTTCAAGTTTCACGGCTTTCTCGTCAGGTTTGAAAGCAACGTCTTCAGGTTTCACGACTTTCTCGTCAGATATGAAAGCAACGTCTTCAGGTTTCATGGCTTTCTCGTCAGGTTTGAAAGCAACGTTTTCAGGTTTCACTGCTTTCTCGTCAGGTTCTGAAGCAACGTCTTCATTTTTCACGGCTTTCTCCTCAGGTTCAAAAGCAACGACTTCAGGTTTCATGAATATCGCGTCAGATTCGGCAGCATTGTCTTCAGGTTTCACGACTTTCTCGTCAGGTTTGAAAGCAACGTCTTCAGGTTTCACGACTTTCTCGTCTTGGATGTACTTTATGGAGAGTTGTCTACTTTGCTTATATATGTCTTCAATTGGTGCGATCTCCCAAAATAGTTCGCGGCTGATAATATCTTCAGCCAGTACTAACGTAAACTCAATATTACTTTCCAAATATGCATTGTCATCTGTCAATCGTTGGAAAGTCAATAACTTCTTTTCCGTTGATTCTGCTTCAACAAGCTGGCTCACTATTCAATAAAATGCAAATTAAAAAGGAAGTATTAGTTCTATAAGAAAGAGAAAGCGTTTTTTAATTAACAATATTTTTTAAACGATTTCACATATTCAACCGAGCCTCTAAAATAAACTATGTAGTTGTTTTGATCAAAACATAATGGGGGCACGAAAACAAAAAGGATTGAATCTTCCTCCATTATACAATTGTTAATTCAACAAACATGAAACTGAACAAATGAAAGAAACAAGCACAAGTTGTCAAGAGGTCTGTACCGCTCGAATAGATGATTAAGCGTTGATGACAAAACATTCTCATAAAAAGTAGAAGTGTTAATATTTATGACTCCGTCTCTTTGAATCTAAGATTCATGAAAGTTGAGATCCATGTGGATGATAAAATGGTTATAGGGATCTCAATCGGCTCTATGTTGTAACCTAAGAATATGTCCAGAAGGTGAGACCAGATCCTGATAGAATATTAGTGTTCTTTTTTCTCATTCCTAAAAAGCAAAGTAATGGTCATATGACGGGATCCCAATCGTTTCCAAATTTTGGCCAAATGCCAAAGAAAATTGTATGTATTACTTGTTTACATGATGCACCTTAGTATCATTATTTATTTTTTTGGCCCAAATGACCTTGAAAACATACTATGACTACTTTTGACATAAGGATATAAAGCACTCCCTCCCAAATAACTGAAGGCAAAAATTCAAAGAACCTGGACCTTATGAAACTAAAGAACCTCATCCTTAAAGCGTTTCAACCATTATAGCCAATATTAACATTTCATCATGACAGGCAATCAAAATTGACCTGTAATCTGAACAAAATACATCAAAAGTCAAACATTCGCAATGCTGATCTACACTTCATGCTGGCAGTTGAGAAAAAGACGCTTGAAAAAGTTTAACATATCAGAACTTGGTGACTCTGAAAGTAATTCAATGTTATTTTATGCCAGGTACCTACTAGACAAATATCAGAACCCTGGGTCATATGACACTTAAGCAAAACACTTTTGAAGCTTATCACCCAATATTGCCAATGTTAACCTTCACCCTGGCCAGCACTGAAAGTTGATCTTTAAACTGAAAATCATATGTTAGAAAACGAAATTGCACTACTGACCACATATCATTTCATTACGCTAGACCCTCTGATTTTTTAGAAAATCTTGCTTGAAGTTTTTAACATATTTCCACTTACGACTTCGGATGTAGGACAATGTCATTATTTATATGAGGACACTACCGTACTTCATCCTAGGTACTGGCCAAACAAAGGAGCCATGTGTCTTTCATTATACAAGATGTTCTTCGAAGGAAGGAAAAAAGTTGACGGAAGGACGAAGAAATAAGGGCAGACTTACTTTCCTGCTCAGCGACGTCCTGGATGTTGGATTCGAGATGCCGAACAGTGGTTGCTGGTGTAGGTTCCTGCAATTACAACGAGAGAAATGTATTTTCTATAATGGCTATTAAACAGAACAAAATGTTACAGAACATGTAATGGTTTTGTGGGTGTTTTTTTTTTTTTGAAGGGACTGCATAATCAAAAACGTGCTTTTTATCATTCTTAGGGTCAAATGCCGTCAGCAAATCAGGCTTGAGGATAAGTTGAAAATGATTTAAAGTGAATTGAACACATGTATTTACTAGGTTCCTGGTTCAAGGATATTTTGTTTCTGTTTCGTCTTTAGATCATTTTCATTATTCATGTATCTTCATGAATAGATAGCATTTTGTGTTACACTCACCTTTCCCTTTACAGGAGCATATGGTGTATTGCCCTGTTTCGAGATCATTTCTGTAAAAAGAGACTCTTCTAGATGTATAAACTGATTTAAAATATAATACTTGGTTATTATATGATTCAATCAACAAAATATGTTATCGACGAAGAAAATCTTATTTGAACCATAAAGTTTTTAGAGGTATTTACAAAAGCATTCTTTTCTGTTAAAAATGCTTAATTGAACACGTTTTTCTTAAACTGTTATTTTTAAACAGAACTTGTATAAAAGTTGGTCTTACCTACAAAAGCCTTAAGCTCCTGGTATTGTTTCCTCTCCATTTGGAACTGTAACAAAGTAATAAAAATGTGATCATAACGTTGTTGATTATTTACTCCGTACAGTTGTATTTTAGAATTAATAAAACGTTATTTTTCGTTTTCCCTATTAGATAAGCTGATGAGTGTTGATACAGTATGTATTACCTGACACGTTTTGTTTCCCTTGATGGTAACTTTGCAGTCTTTGTCATTAAAGAAAGGCGTCACACAAGTTGAAAGGTCAACTTCCATTTTGTTTTTCTCTCCTTTTTTCATAGTGACAATGTTGGCTTTTATAACCAAAGTCCTACTTTTGTTGTATCTTTTTGACCATTTTCCTGAAAAATAAGGAGACATTGAATTTAATGCTGCAATAGACACCATCATATAATATAGTTCTTTTCTAAAAGCACACCTATCTTAAATCTCGATCAGACAAACTTTATTATTACTTTAGTGTTTTATTTTATTTCACTTGAATGTCGTTTATTCATATAAAATAGCATTTATTTACAGTTAGGTTCAAGTCATTGTAATGTATGCAATATTATGTAATACACAATTCTCGAAAACATTTTACGTTGTTTAATAAATACCTTAAATTCATATCAAGCCTTATTTGTATATTTCTCCATTTTTATTGTGAATGCATAAGTGTTTACCTTTCTTTTTGACGGCCCATACATGATCCGTTTCCTCTGGAAAACCCATCGCTTGTGGAGCAACATCCGCTGGGGTCAGTACAGATTCCCCTGTAATAATAGGATTGTTTTACTCATGCCTATTTAATTATATCGTGTATAAGAATGATGATACTAAGAACGATCATTCGCGTCATATGAGATGGTTTTGATCTGTATATATTTGTATATGGCGATGACTCAGGAACTAAATCTCGAGTTTTGGGCCAGACCTCTGTGCTAATTCTGGTAGTATAAGTGTGTCTATCGCTTCATGCCAAGCAAACACATATTTGTTTACAGGGTGAGTATCTCGAATATTTCCATTTTATGGCCCTCATCCTGGGATTAAATAACCAAAGGCATAACTAAATACCTCAGTAAATTCTAGTTGCATGATCATGTTAATGTTTTAGTCTTCATGCAAGACAACTGTACATATGGATTTGGGGTGGTCATCACATCCGTTTCAAGGTTATGATTTAGAAATTATGTATCCGGGGTATTGAATGATATCTTGGTCCGTTATGGCAGAATAAGTGCATTCTAATGTCCATGCCTAGCAATTGTATAAATGGTTACAGCTTGAGATCATAAGTATTTTCATGTTTTAACCAAGAGACCAAATCTCCAGAGGCAGAGCCAAACCCTTGAGGCAATCCAGATAGCAAGAGTGTGTCCTTCTCCTTATGTCTATCAACTGTTAATATAGTTATAGGTTAAATTTAATCCGTTTCCATGTAATGAACCAGGTTCCATGTAATGAACCAGGAATTTAGAGACAATGCTAGATTCCAGTGCAAATTCGATAGGATTATCTGTATTCATATCTTCATTATATTTAATGCAAGCAATTGTAAAAGCTATCATAAACAGGTGATAATATCCGTTTCCGTGTTACGACATAGGAGGGGACAAAAAAACGGAAGGGTAAATCCTGGAAATATGGATGTACCTCTATCATAATATTCATATGTGAATATGTAGTTAGAGTCTCAAGTGTTCCATTTTTCCGTTTTACCGCTTACGCTATAGGGCCTCGTTTTGGGATGAGAATGGACTCCACAAATTCTGGTGCCAACAGTGCATTCATCTCTACATACCCAGCAATTGTATATATGGTTATAGATTGTGGATGGCGAATGTTTCTTAGTTACTAACTAATTCTTTAGAGCCCACCCCTGGGATGCAAACGGATCCCCGGACAAATTTAAATTCTGATTGTGTTCTAGATCAAATTGTATTCAAAACTATTCTACTGGATTAATCCCCTCTGTCACTAGGGAGGTATAATCATCCGCATTTAAATTATCAAGTCCCCTTGGTCGAAGGATGCTTTAGATCAAATTTGATAAAAAAAAAAAACAATCCATATGGAAGGGGCCGCTTAAGATCAAAGTTATATTAAATCCCTTCATCTGTACGGAAGGAGGCGGATTTTAAATATTTTCTCTATTTCATTTTTAAGACTACCCAAACCCCCTTTGTCCCTTTGTTCCCCTTGCCCCTTTGCCTCCACACCTTCCTTTTATACAACACTGAGTCACTTGGCCCAAGGACGCGTTAAAAAAAAATGGTTAAATTCCGTAATGTGTACGGATGGAAAATGATTTTGAAGATTTGTCACTGTTTCCCGTATAAATACTATTTCTCCCTTTGCCTTAAGGAAATCCAAGTCTATTGTTGAGATCCAGACAAATAAAAAGCGATAAGTTCGCATATTTAAAGATTTTCTATGCTTATTTAATTGAATGTATTCAGATACCAAAATTATGACTCGACAGAAACTACATTATTTGACTAATGTCTCAACAAAATCATTCATCCTTAACTCTCTCACCCTACCGTACACAGCCGATAATGTTCCCACTGACAGCCAAATTGACTTTATGACCTCGCATGTGTAAATTTCCTTTTTGGTATAGTTTCTTATTATCAATGGACATCACAGGACGCCCTTCTTGTTGGGAGTAACTAATTACCTCAACAGAAAAGAAACCGTGTCCTATGTTTCTGAAGTCTACAAATATATACTGACACCTGTCCTGGGTACATGTAGAACAGTTTTAACCCGCTGATAATCTCTACCCAACATCCGGCATCTAGTTTAGTTTAAACTTTTACATAAAGTAAAAATTTATAACTTAGTATTTACATCGAAATAAACTAGTTATTTATCAGTTTTGTGTGAAATTATATTGTAGTATTGCTTTCCTTATTTTAATTATTTGTAACAAACAAATGATTTAATTTTTGTTTCAAGCCAAGTGCCTACACACCAATTTAGTTAATCGTAGTACATAAAACAGCTTAATACACGACTGCTATTCCCAAACATTAATTTAATATTAGTACTTTAAGCATGATTTAATGTTAAATTCTATCAACCATAGATATTTATTGTAAATAGGAAAAACAGGAAAAACGCTGAAACACCATACCCATAAGGTAACGCCATAATTTCGTCCCTCATTTCCTTATTATACGTAATTTGTCAATAACATTTTTAAAAAAATTGTGCCATATGGTAGTTCGCTAGTGACGATGTCTCCAATAGATACACAGTAGGCTCGGTATGTCAGTGAACAGTTATTATACATCGTGTGAAACGATCACAAGTGTAATCACGAGTGCAGTAAGTTCGATATGTCAGTGAACAATTATTATTCATCGTGTGAAACGATCACAAGTGTAATCACGAGTGCAGTAAGCTCGATATGTCAGTGAACAATTATTATACATCGTGTGAAACGATCACAAGTGTAATCACGAGTGCAGTCAGTTCGATATGTCAGTGAACAATTATTATTCATCGTGTGAAACGATCACAATGGTAATCACGAGGGCAGTAAGCTCGATATGTCAGTGAACAATTATTATACATCGTGTGAAACGATCACAAGTGTAATCGCGAGTGCAGTAAGCTCGATATGTCGGTAAACAATAATTATACATCGTGTGAAACGATCACAAGGGTAATCACGAGTGCAGTAAGCTCGATATGTCGGTAAACAATTATTATACATCGTGTGAAACGATCACAAGTGTAATCACAAGTGATCAGCAATAAAGCACAAACACGGCACTTAGGAACGGATATGAGATACTTGTATTAGTTAACTCGATAGTAGCCAAAATAATAAATTGATTCGCATTTGAAACCAGTTCCTTTGACCGTTTAACGCCTTGATATAAAATATTTGTTTACAGAGAAAATAAAACTGATATATTAGAGGAATAAATCAGTGGGCCGTGATGAATATTAACAGCAGCTTTTGTTAGTGGTAACGTCACAATTTTCCCCTCATTTTCTTATTATACAGCGGTCCCTTGTCTAAACAAGCTAAGGTTAAATAACCCTACATTCCCCATCCCACCTGATCATCCCCTTCACATCCTTTCAACTCCCGGCCTCCATTACACACTCCCAAACAAATAAAAAAGAAAAAAGGGAAAGAAAAAAAACGCTCACCTGGTCCTCCTCCAGCAAGCGTTTTCTTCTTGTTGCCTGATTCAAACGAAGAGAAAATACAAAATTAATCTGTTAATGAACTAACCCTTACAAACTCAAATTTTAATTCTAAAGTAGATATTTTTATGTGATCATCTTTCAAATTAACTTCCATGGATCGGGTATTTATTTGTTTAGTTTTTGATGTGCCGTAAATAAATCAGCATGTTAATGGTTAAATTCATATGAGAAAAATTGCACAACTAACTATATGCAGTAGGAATGGTATCTCATATTCCTGAGTTCCTTTGCAATACTCCTATAAATTCAACAGTCATTTATTAAGCTGCTTAACGAGGAATTATTGTATCCTGAAATATCTAAGACATTTGGCGTTGTTCTATTTAGATCTAGTGAACCATAGCTTAAAATAACAGACTAAATGCCGTGCTACATCATGTTTTCTTTTGTGTGCGTAAGAACCTGCCACACAGTAGCTACCTGAAATATGAATGGCCCGTATACATATACTATATGTTTTAAAGATGTATGGGTCACTGTCAATTAAAGTTCGAAATATATTCATGCTTGGAAACATGAAAGATGTATTAAAAATCCTGATTTTTATAAATTCCTAATCATTCTAATGATTTATTTTGTAAATCTTTGGATGTGTCGTCAATATTTGAAGCATTGGTAATCTCATGTAATCACACAATATAGAATATTAATAACCATTATCGAATAAGCTAAAGAACATTGTTTTAAATAAAAATAACAAGATTTATAGTAGAATCACAACATTTACGTTATAAAACACACACTTTATAATATGTATTTCTTGATTATACCTTATATCACACTATATTCCACACGACATATATTCATTAATTATTGATTTATATATGCATATTAAACAGTCTATCAATCTATTTTGTAATTGTCGTTTGTCTTTGAAATCTATTAATACCATAATTTAATTTACAACAATAATTATATAAAACTAAGAGAAAAACGTGCTTGAGATTCGATTTGATAAAGAACCTTCCATCTTGTCTTTATCTTGCTCTATTTTAAACAAAACAATATAACGTTTTAACATCAGGCGATTTACTCTGCAATTGGTCGTTGATTCTTAAAACTTGGACAGGAATTGATACACTAGGGTCGAACTGTGTCAAATTCCTAAACCTTACATCGTCGATCGATAATAGTGTGTTTATGCTACGGAAAATAAGTGATCACTGAGTGATAATTATTGCACTTTTCGTTTGCTCTATAGTTAAGAATCATAGCTTTCATATTATGAAAAACATCATTTTCATTGTATTATATTGTATTTATATATTGTTATGTATTAATTCTGACCCTTTCTTTATGTAATGCCGTTTAATCCATTAATGACTATTTAGAAATGAAATTAATAAAATACATGCATATACTTTATTGAACATTTTTTTTTATATTTTATTATTAGTATCATAATTAATTTTAAAACCCTAAGTGCTTTTATCTATCAAAATTGGGATACTTTTCAACAGAAAATGTCATGTCTATTTAGTAACAATAGATAATTACACATGTTTATATTTTCTACTGTGCTTTAAACGGGTGCTTGAAATATATAAATGCATTCTTATAAATAATATTAAAGTTTTAATATTTAATATATTACATTCTGACGGTTAAACCCTGAAAAGCGCAGATTTGTTTTTGGTTCGTTTAGTTTGTTTGCATCTTGTTCATTTATTTCAAGAGGCATATTTTTATCGAAATTATGATATACTATGAATTACAATGTTTAAGAATTCAATTGCCGCCTAAATTGTTGTCATTAAATTCACCGATATATGAATTTAGATTAGTTCATGTATTTTAAAACTGCTTCAAATTAATATTACCTTTATACCTTAAAATATAGCATTTAATTATATGATTTTACAAACCTAAATTATGTATTTATTTACAAAGTCATTTAACTATAATATGTTTAATTTTCTAGTATGTACTGGGTAGTGTGTGGTTTGATTTTCTCAATCAGTCAAAAGTGTAAACATTTAAATGTATATATTGATACACTGTTATATCACTCTGTCTGTACGTAATCGAATTACATAAACAATCTAAACAAAATGTACGCGTTTTTCTTAATGGTTATTTTACCGAAATCGTTGAAAAGCTTTTTGAACTGTGTCAGATTCCTAGACCTTACATCGTCGATCGATAATAATGTACTTATGCTACGGAAAATAAGTGATCACTAAGTGATCATTATTGCACTTATCGTTAGCTCTATAGTTAAGAATCATAGCTTTCATATTATGAAAAACATCATTCTCATTTTATTATTAATTCTGATCCTTTCTTTATGTATTGCCGTTTAATCCATTAATGACTATTTAGAAATAAAATTAATAAAATACATGCATATACTTTATTGAACATTTTTTATTTTATATTTTTGATATCATAATTAATTTTAAAACACTAAGTGCTTTTATCTATCAAAATTGGGATACTTTTCAACAGAAAATGTCATGTCTATTTAGTAACAATAGATAATTACACATGTTTATATTTTCTACTGTGCTTTAAACGGGTGCTTGAAATATATAAATGCATTCTTATAAATAATATTAAAGTTTTAATATTTAATATATTACATTCTGACGGTTAAACTCTGAAAAGCGCAGATTTGTTTTTGGTTCGTTTAGTTTGTTTGCATCTTGTTCATTTATTTCAAGAGGCATATTTTTATCGAAATTATGATATACTATGAATTACAATGTTTAAGAATTCAATTGCCGCCTAAATTGTTGTCATTAAATTCACCGATATATGAATTTAGATTAGTTCATGTATTTTAAAACTGCTTCAAATTAATATTACCTTTATACCTTAAAATATAGCATTTAATTATATGATTTTACAAACCTAAATTATGTATTTATTTACAAAGTCATTTAACTATAATATGTTTAATTTTCTAGTATGTACTGGGTAGTGTATGGTTTGATTTTCTCAATCAGTCAAAAGTGTAAACATTTAAATGTATATATTGATACACTGTAATATCACTCTGTCTGTACGTAATCGAATTACATAAACAATCTAAACAAAATGTACGCGTTTTTCTTAATGGTTATTTTACCGAAATCGTTGAAAAGCTTTTTGAACGGTGTCAGATTCATAGACCTTGCATCGTCGATCGATAATAATGTACTTATGCTACGGAAAATAAGTGATCACTAAGTGATCATTATTGCACTTTTCGTTAGCTCTATAGTTAAGAACCATAGCTTTCATATTATGAAAAACATCATTCTCATTGTATTATTAATTCTGATCCTTTCTTTATGTAATGCCGTTTAATCCATTAATGACTATTTAGAAATAAAATTAATAAAATACATGCATATACTTTATTGAACATTTTTTATTTTATATTTTTGATATCATAATTAATTTTAAAACACAAAGTGCTCTTATCTATCAAAATAGGGATATTTTTCAACAGAAAATGTCATGTCCATTTAGTAACAATAGATAATTACACATGTTTATATTTCCTACTGTGCTTTAAACGGGTGCTTGAAATATTTAAATGCATTCTTATAAATAATATTAAATGGAAATAATTTCAGAAGTTTTAATATTTAATATATTACATTCTGACGGTTAAATTCTGAAAAGCGCAGATTTGTTTTAGGTTCGTTTAGTTTGTTTGCATCTTGTTCATTTATTTCAAGAGGCATATTTTTATCGAAATTATGATATACTATGTATTACAATATTTAAGTATTCAATTGCCGCCTAAATTGTTGTCATTAAATTCACCGATATATTAATTTAGATTAGTTCATGTATTTTAAAACTGCTTCAAATTAATATTACCTTTATACCTTAGAATATAGCATTTAATTATATGATTTTACAAACCTAAATTATGTATTTATTTACAAAGTCATTTAACTATAATATGTTTAATTTTGAAATCAAGAAATAATGCGATTATCATAAACGAAACTCACCTTTTCTAAACAACATCGTTTGTTTATGATATTCCTTAATCCAGTGTTTGTTTATGAAGAAACAATTGATATAACGTAGCCTCGACGTCGATTTAAATGGCGACTACCAATGAAAAGGACGCGAAAACATGGGAATTTCCAAAATCTTAAAATAGCATACACGTTTACTATGGGGTGTTTCTATTTATAAAGTAACGTGACTGTTGACCCGTACCTAAATATAGATATACAAGCTCACAAATCTGAGATCGGGTCAGACTTTTTCTTGATATACGACTAATAACTGCAAACAAAACATCACACAGGATTTCAAAGGATCATATAAAAAATTTCTGACGCAAAAGTTATTCTATTTTTTTATGATATTTATATATTTCCAAAATTAGTGAACAACACGGAAACCTAACAATGCTTTCATTATTGTGTCTGTGCAGTGAAACGAACGTGGATTGGTCTCTTCGATCTGGTTGTATTAGCCTACACTTGTCATTAATCCTGGTGTCTCTTGTCATGCCTACGCCGTGTAAATCACAATTGCTTACAGGCCCATCTCTGTAGCTATAGTTGTTAATATTTGTTTCATGATATAAGGTAACAGTTTCTGTTTCTTTGTCATTTATGTTCAATCCTGTATATATGATGTACGATATGTTTTATATGAAGAAATCAAAGTTTAAAACTAAGCAATACTATCTTAATACGTTTTGAGAGTTCACGAAAAAAATATTAATAGGACAACTACATAATGTGGATTTTAGGCAGAGGAGATCATCAACGTCATTTTATTATTTTCATTTTAATACCAAGCATTCAAAAAATGTCAAATATAAACATTTGTGTGTAGAAAATTTAAAAAAAAATAAAAATATTTAGAAACCATGTCAGGGCCTCTTGGGGTGATTTGCTTTCTGTATACCACAACATATGTATAATTTAAGACATAATTTAGATGAAGTTTTTACAGCAAAGTACATTAAGGTATACTGACATGTTGCCAAAATCTTTGACCCTTTCCCCTGACAATAATTAATTATACTTAGAAATTGTGTATTGATGTATCAGCTGTGGGTGTAGAAGTTCTGTGGTTTGTTTTTTACTTTTTGTGATTTAAATTCATATTTGTTTACCTACACGTAAACCAAACACACATACACATGCATTAGCATATGAACAGTGACACTCCGCATTATAAAGTGTAGATTCGTTTTCTTTTCTAACTGCTCAATCTGTTTTTATAAATTTCATCGAATTTTTCGTTAACCGTTTTCATATGTTAAATAGGCAATGTACTTGCTATGTTTATTTTTGCAAAATTTCTTGGTAAAAGCTTTCTTCAATCTATATAACATAAACAATATTATATAAAATTGATTTTCATGTCAAAAGTCACAACTATTAAGGACAATTTGATACACTAAGAAACTCATACGCCTAGTTAGAACACACAGAGCTGTCTGTAAACGTGATGACAACATACTTGAAAATACTTTTAAATCATTTAATAGCTTTTTTTATAGTGTAATTGCAAAAGCAAATAATCCAATTACTGATGATAATTATTCAAGGACAAGGACAAGAGAAGACTTATTTGACTTTTGACTCCTTGATGATCCTGACGCTAAAGACACATGGAAGGTAAGAATCACACAATGAATTCAGTAGTTTATGAGTTACTATAATGCATTTTGTTATTTATCTAAATAACATTCAGTTGCTAAAAGTGTTAATTCTCGACCAAAATATGGCGCCTTGAAGGGATAATGAGGTTTCAGGCCTGGCAGTGATATGTGACATATTTTCTGGTCATGATTCATCCTCATCAAAATATTTTCAGCCCTGCCAAAGTTGTTTGACTTTTTGCTGTGATTTTGATCTCGGTGTACAAATAGTAAAGTGGTACGCGAAGCACAGTGCAGCAAGATACATTTGTCTGTGAAGTTTCAGACATGAATTGAGGTTTGACCTCTTATTTCGACTTTAACATAATATATGTAAGGACAGGAAGAACACTTCCTTCGATGATTTTATAAAGGACCTTAAAACCTGTGTTGTACACAATACACTAACGAGTCTTTCGTACATTAAAAAGTATTTGCCTTAGTTTTGGACCAATGGAATGTCAGACACGGTGTGCTTACCTGGTATACAGTCTCCCAATTCTAGTGTAATACAAATGAACGCTATATGATATATCGGTATCGTTTGTACATTATATGAGATCATAGTCGACATGCCATAAACATTTGTTGCTTTTTATGTAAACAATGTGAATTGGTAGAACATTGCTACTTTTTTTATTAAGCAATATCTAAAGCTGTCTAAACAATTTGTGTTATCATACTATGGCTTTCCTTACGTACGAATTGAACGTGCTAAATAGCTGGTGTTACATTTCTTGACACTTTGCCTCCACAAATATTTATGGGTCTCTGCTGAATGTGGTTTGTGGTGTCTCGTTTAGATAGATCTACATGGAGGTCGAGTGACAGTAACATTAACCGGAAGGAAGTTATATGTTCTGTCTATGATGACTTTATTGCCTTTTTTGAGCCAATTTATTACATGTATACGTGTTATCCTGTTTTGATGACGTCTAAGCATGCCGATCGATTTGAATTACTAAATCATACCGAATTATTACATACTAAGTATCATAAACGCGGGAATAACAAAGGTCGATTGACCTTGAATGAACATGTAGACACGTTGCCTGACCAGGAAACACGTGACAGGCCTCCGACCGACATAAGTGGAAGCCTCTCTTGGACGCCTTATGAACCACTTGATGCGCGAATTGAATTACGTAATTAACTAATATATTGTGGGATGTGACATATTCTTCACATCATCGAAAAGTATAATTGGGTCTCTGTATTCAGGTATAGCATACATGAAGTGTTTCCGACCCTTCACAAACTTGTAAAAGCAGCAATTGTTACCGATGTATATGTATGTTAGATATCCGATACACTATTTAACCACAATAATAAATAAAAAGATACGTTAATTCTCCTATACTCAAAAAAGAAAATGGCTAAAAAGAAAAGCTTACATTTCATGTACACGACAATTTATTCTATATAAAAGGCGATAAGTGACACAGTTACGTGGTTTTTAACCACACATTGGCTTTTTTATGAAAGACAGCAGACGCAGTCACTTACTAAGCCATCTTGACATGAATATACAAAAGTAATAACCCCATTAGGAGGCATTCTAAATTTGAAAGTTTCATAAGAAAAACATGTTAGATTAACACATCAATATCTGACTAAACAGAGGATCTTACATGAGTGTCCATGTCTTATTGGATTTATTAAACTCATTCTGACACTGATCAGTATATAACAACCCTTAGAATCAGTTTTTATGGAGGGAGGATTATCACCTGAGTCCCTACTAGACGCATAACTAGCCCTATTTCGAAATGGATTCATTTAAGGGCGGCTCCAGAGGGCAGGGCATTGGTGTGGAACCAGAAGGGTACAAAACACGTGTTTTTGTTTGGTTTTTTTTTCTGTTTGAAAAGGATGGGTGCCGATTTGGGCCTTCTGGTGGCTATCTACATACCTTATTATCCGGGTTATTCCGTCATGATATAACATGAAATTACAGTCAGCTTGAAGACCATTCTGAGATATGAGGGCGGAAATTGGGGGCGGAAATTAGAAATGGCCTCTTTTTGACAAAAGCACACGTTGCTTTTCTTTAAACTTCCTATGTTATTTTGATGTATTGTGTAACACTTAAGCTGCAAATGATAAAAAAATGACCGCAAAAGTAGCACATAGCTGATAAGTAAGTTACCCAGAACTTTTTATTTATCGGCTTAATCATGTCAACGGTTCTCTCCATTTTGTGGCTAAACACACAATAAAATTTAGACTTGCATCCTACTTTCAGATACGTAAGACAACAATAATTAAATGTATCTGAATACGTTAGTAGTAACTTATTTGATATATATTTTAAGTATAAAACGCTACGTTATGGTAATAAGGATACTAATTTTATTTCTGCCAGTGCTTTCCTCAGGTTTAAAACAGTCTACAGTGGTATAAATATAATTAAAATAAATTAATACACATAAAAGTATAAAAGTTTTGACTGAAATTTTAGCTGACACAATAGGATATATCACCACCTCTGACACACACTTAATATATTTATATTGGTAGAGGTCCTTATAACTGTAAGTAGAATGTAATTGTCTGGTAGTTAAGCTATAGTTCAGCTATACAAGTATTACATATATTGTACTTTAAAGACTGTTTCAAGGAGTACTAAATTGGATAGCAAACAAGTGAGTATCAATAAAAGTATCTCATAATACAATATAAGTCCAATTGCCAGGTATTGAATGTGTCAACTACTACATACCGGACTAAGAGGCAAGTACATTACATGTATGAAGACAATTCTATTCACAGATATCTGGAGCTCCGTGCCGAAGTTAATAGGTTAGGTGTGTGTCAGGGTGTGGTAATACATCATATGATGTTAGCCAATGTATCCATTTATTTCAATCCTTTATTATTGCTCTATAAATAAATTGGAATTGACTCCACGCAATGACAGAAAAAAACTTTTACAGCCATGTAGATTAAAGCATACTGACATGTTGTATATCAAAAAGCGAGTCTTCAGATATATTTCTTTCATTTTGGTTTTACATATCTGAAAGTCGATGGTTGTATAAATAAAAGAAAACAGTTGTTGTATGGATTTTGTGCCAAAAACGTAGTAATTATGAATTTACAAGGAAACTAACCCCCATCCCATACTAACTTCGTTCAAATGTGTTTTACGCACAACAAAGTGAGAATCGTTCACATGATTAAGCTGATATATAACAAGGTCACAGGGAATTTCTTATCAACGATGTGCAACTTAAGCTGTAAGTTTTTAGGCAAATAACATATCTTTTTGTCAAAAATAGGTCATTTGTAGATTTTGGTCCCCCAATATACCCCTTCATTTATCAGATTGGTCTCCAAGCTAACCTCAATTTCATGTCATATCATGACAGCATCATCCCGATGTATGTATGTGCAGACCTTATCTGTGAGCAACCAGAACGCACAAATTGACACCCT